TCCTTGTTTTATTGATTGCATGTAATAATCTACTTTTTTGAGGTTGTGGATTTGGGGTTCTTGGGGTTTTCATGAGCTGTAAGCCATAATCATCACAATTATGACAAATCACGGCTTGAATTATCTTGCTTTGCATGTAATGAGTCTATCTCATATATTAGTTTCACCTTTTAAGTTGCATTAGTGAAATAAATGAACTTTGCACGATATTCTAATTATTCGAGTTTCACCTGTATGTATATGTAAACCTACAGTGTTATTCACAAAGCTGCCGAAGGCAGCCGCGTGAATAACTGACCCGAAGTGAAGTGAGCCGAACGCTGTTCGGCTATTCACTTCAGGCTTGTACAGCTGATTTCAGCCGTACATCAGCTGAAATCAGCCGCACATTGACTTGTATCAGCTCTGCATGTTCGGCCGACCCGAAGTGCAGAAGGAGTTTGACTCAGCTGATCCAACATCTGGATTGGCTGAGCCAAACCTCGGGCAGGCTACTCGCTGCCGTTTGGCCTTGGGGCCGAGCGGCATTCTGCTCGGCTATTCTGCTCAGTACCTCCGTGGTACCGAGCAGAATAGAAAAACAGTTTAAAAAAAGTAGAAAGAAAAGTAGAAAACGATTGGGTGGGCCGGGACTGGCCGTGATATCACTGCCGACTCCGCTGAGCTCTCATTGTAATGACAGTTCAAAGGGATCGACCAATTATCTGATCCACCGATAATCGGGGCCAACATTCCCAATAATATACACTGTGCAAATTTCAGCTGGTTCTTGAGGAATTGGCTGAATTTTGCCTAGTGGGCACCTCTGTACCGCATCCCTTGATCAGCTGATTGAAGGAGCCGGTCAGAAAATCTATGTAGGAACAGAACCAGCAGCCTGTGAGTTGCCGACTCTGTTCAGTATTCTGACAGCAGCCACCAGCTGCTGTCAGAATACAGAAAAAACAGCAGATAGCAGGGGAGGCAATAGCTAGCCTGCTCTTGGCTATTTCACATTGCAATAGCCAATATTATTATTATACAGGACTTATATAGCACCAACAGTTTGCGCAGCGCTTTACAATTTAAGAAAGACATAAACCTTTTTGTTTATTTGTAAAAAACTTGTTAAATAAAAGAATTTATAAAAAAAAAGAAAGCCATTACTATACAATTCAAGACAAGATGGTAAGGAGGGCACTGCACATGAGTGCTTACAATGTAAAATAGCAGGCTGGCTATTGCACCCGCCCACTGCCTGCTGTCGATCAGCAGAGGAGAGCAGTGGAGCGGACCTGAAGGAGAACTTTGATTGGCAGCAGGCAGTGGGTGGGTGCAATAGCCAGCCTGCTGTTAGCTATTGCACTCTGAAATGATTGCAGAATCCTGCCGCCGGCAGATAAATAGGGCGGGGTGCGAAGGGTGGACCAATATCAGACAACTGCCTGCAGTTTATATTCAGCTGTTGGTGCAGCTGAATGTAAACAGAATATCGGTACCTGATCGGTTATTGGCCTTAAACTTGTCCCATAATCTCTATCGGTTCTGAACAATCCATAGCAGCTGACCCCTAGTTTTAGGATTTTTTGTAGTAGTGATGAGAAACATCCTCTCTTGTAAAAGTAAGCCCACGTCACTAGATGTCCCCATTGCTCTATGGTATAGCCCTGGTATTAGAAGCCCACCTGGGGTTTGCTGGGCAACCCTGCCCCTGTTAACCAGGAGTGCCCTTGGAAAGTGTATAAGTAGGTGCAGGTCTCTATCTATTTCACTTGGAGTTGCTCTCTTGGTATCAAGAACTATTGCAACTGTTAAAGTATTGTGTCGCTGAACTACACTTGGACATAGACTTATGTTTAGGGAAGGAGTAGGGACCACAGTGGGCATGAGTGAGCAGTCTGGTTGGGGGGCTTGAGTTCTGATCAAGACAGACTGGGTTGCTCGCCAGGGTGTCCCAAAGAAGCTAATGTCTTGATGTTCTGCACTGTGTAGCACAGGAACCCTGCGAGCCCCATGCTAATGGACTGCAATGTGCCTTAGGACAACCCAAATACTGGTAGAGGAATAGTTAGACACATGTAATATTATGTGAAATAGTTTATGTGCACTCCATGTTGTTGCCCTCTGCAATACAGTTATATAAACAGAAAGACAGTTAAGCCTGCCACACCAGACTTCTTTGGATAAAGCTGGCAGTACTGGCAGGTAACAAGTAGTAGTGCAGTACAAGGATCTAAAACAGGCTTTAAATAAATACCAGGGTAGCCATTGTCAATCTTCTCCTAAAAAATGCTAGGTACCTGGCTGCCTAAGGGTTTAATATTTTGAATGGCAGACATGGTTATGGAAAAAGCATGCTGCAAGTGAAGTCAGTTGATTGAAGCAGAAAGCATTGAAAGTAGAGGGTTAGTTTGACAGCCAACCAACAAGCATTTTCAGAAGGTCAGCAAAGGTAGCTCCTGTATTCACTCTTGAAAAGTTTCATTAACACCTTAATAATTATAAGAACCCAATTAATGTCAATCTTCCCTATTGTCCTTCTTCACAGCATTGTTAATCAAAGTACTGGTGCTCTTAAAAGCTTACTTTTTCAGCTCTATTTTTTGGTGATCAACTTTTTTTCCTTCAAATAAAATGTAAATTTTCTGCTTTTTGCTTTGTCCTCTTTGTAGATTATCCTCTATTGTACTGATATGTAAAGCAGTCTAAGCAATAAAAAATATCTTCATGACATTCAAAATATATACGGTACCTTTTAAACATGTAAAACTCAAAGCTGTGAATCTAGTGATGTATTTGTTTTAAATTTCTTTGATCTTTTATAAAAAGAAATATATGGAAGGGAATGCAGAATGAGGTTCTGCTAAAACAGATAACGTCAAATCTAATGATGTTTGTAGTTTCGTCAGTTGGCCAAGTCTTAGAAAATCAGGCCTAACTGTAATGAGAACAAATTGCTTTTCAGGCAGCCACCTTCTCCATTCAGTTTTGTTGTTTTGATTAGCAACCATTTTTAATTTAAATCACCTATGTGAAGTCTATTTCAAATGTGTCTATTTGCTGATGGATAAATGATGATGGTTTTCAGTTTCTGTATAGTAATTGAATTTGTGGGATTTCTTGTACAGGTAATTATATTTTACTTTATTTCTTGTACAGGTAATTATATTTTACTTTAAATCCATTCTTTCTCATCCCAGACATGCAAAAGTAATCCATTCCATTAGGGAGCCAGTGTCTGGTTAATTATCTGGTCTGCATGACATAGACACAGTTACAGTAAATAATTAATTTAGGAAGCTGGTTTCAGATCAGTTTATTTACTAGGTCCAAGCTAATTCTGTCATAGAATAGAAAAACAGATGTTTTCACGAAGCACTGGTCAGCTTTGTAATTTTCGTCAGGAATTAGTCGAATGAAGGCATTGGCTGCCTTCTGGCTGTGCACATATGGAACATGTTGACCAGGCTACGCTGGCCTCATACAGCGGGCAACCAATTGATTTTTTTTTAATAAATAAATGTTTCTCATGCCTTATGAGGGGATGCTCAGGATGTTTCCTTTGTCAGATATGGTTAAAATGACAATACTGTAGATATACACAATCAGTTACAGTCATTAGGTTACAGTCCCATTGAGAAGAGTTATACAGACAAATGGGGATCTATATTTTAAAATCATGTCTATAGTGGCTTTCTCTTTACTTTACATAGTTATTCTGACAATTTATCATTAATTGTGACCAGAGAACTGCATGGAATTAGGGGCAATCTCTATGTAGCTGATATATAGTTGTTAAGCTAGACAGAGCAATTGCCGTAAAGAGAGGAATCAGTTAAATCATATAAACATCTTGGGGGCTTAGGTGAAGTTCTTGGGGACTCATATATTACAGAAATGATTTAAGAGGTCAATAGACTGAGAACTTAAAATGTATTAGAATGTTTACCAGAGCTAGAAGCATGCCTTGTAACTATTCCTGTTTTTCTAGGGCTTTCCTAATTTTTGGAAATAACATTTTATTTTTTTATACCAATGGATTTTTTTTAAGACAAGGCTTATTATAGTTGGAAAGGAGCTTTTATATTCCTAAAGGGTATCTAAACCCAAAAGCAAAAATTTTATAAAATGTAATATGTTGCAGCTCACAAATCCATAATATGGTGGATTCATTAGGCTTGTTTTGCTTATATTTTCCCATGTTGATATGGCCAGTAAGTCTGTTATTTTTCAACTTCCTTTAACAGACTACCAAAAGTGGCAGAATGTGGGCTGAGACAAACCATTTAACACTAACAGGTGTGCAATGGTCAGTTTTTAATCATTTATGTAAAATCTTTTTCCCAAAAGAAAAAAAAATGTTAATGTAACCGCTTAAAAAGTGTTAGTGGAAGTTTAGGTTTCATTTATTGGTCACATCTATCTAAATGTACTAGTACATCTAGCACTACCCATCCCACAGGTTGACAATGCTGCTGTCCAAGGGTGGCTCTGTTGAGTAGAGCCACTCTGAGGCAGGAAGTTTTATGTTTAGGTTTAGATGTGCTCGATTTGGAGACTAATTATATACCGTTGAACTGTTATAACTATGTGAAATAGGTAGTGTTTTGATTACTTTTGCTATGTCTGCTTAATTTATACTGTACATAAGATTAAATACAATAAAAGGTTCTGGATGCTACTATAATATGTGGCATTTTAGAATGAAAAGAAAAAAGAAAGCAAGTCAAGGAAGGCTATTGTTGTAGGAGGTTACTGACATACATCTCCATTGTGCTTTCCCTTCCTCTTTTAAAAGCAGGAAAATACTAGTTTACCTTGCTTTTTAAAACTTCTGCATTTGTTACTGCATGTGCAAAATGCTTATAATTTTATATATAGTTAAATATCACAGTTTAATTTGTATTTAGATACCCCTAGATACATATTCTGGAGTATATACACATCTATAAATAGAAACTTTTAAAATATGTATTATACTATACTTGGACTAACCTTATTTTATTTCTGTTTTGTTACAGTTCATCGCCTTTGCTTCCTTATTCTTCATCTTGGTATCTATAACTACATTTTGCCTGGAAACTCATGAAGCATTTAATAACATTATTAACAAAACTGAGAAAGTAAATAATGGCACTGAAATGGTGTCATTAATTGAGATTGAAACTGACCCTGCATTGACATATGTTGAAGGAGTCTGTGTGGTATGGTTTACATTTGAATTTTTAGTACGTGTCACTTTCTGCCCTGACAAACTTGAATTCATCAGAAATCTATTAAACATAATAGATTTTGTGGCCATTTTGCCATTTTACCTGGAGGTGGGACTAAGTGGACTTTCCTCCAAAGCTGCTAAGGATGTACTAGGGTTTCTCAGGGTTGTGAGATTTGTTCGCATCCTTCGAATTTTTAAACTGACCAGACATTTTGTAGGACTGAGAGTGCTTGGGCACACTCTTCGAGCTAGCACTAATGAATTTTTGCTTCTCATAATATTTTTGGCTCTAGGAGTCTTAATATTTGCCACAATGATCTATTATGCTGAGAGAATCGGTGCCAGCCCGAATGATCCATCAGCAAGCAAACATACACAGTTTAAAAACATACCCATTGGGTTCTGGTGGGCTGTGGTTACTATGACAACATTGGGATATGGTGACATGTATCCTCAAACTTGGTCAGGGATGTTGGTAGGTGCACTATGTGCTTTGGCTGGAGTACTAACAATTGCAATGCCTGTTCCAGTCATTGTTAACAATTTTGGAATGTACTACTCCCTTGCTATGGCAAAACAGAAGCTTCCAAGAAAAAGAAAGAAATATATCCCACATGGACCTCAGGCTGGTTCCCCCACTTTCTGCAAGATGGATCTTAACATTGGATGTAACAGCACACAGGTGGATGCATGCCTGGGCAAAGATAACCGAATGATGGAACACAATATGTCAGGTATAGTAGAAGTCTTGCAACCTAAAGTAATACAAAAAACAACAACTTTATAATAACAATGAACCTCTGTAAGGTTTTTATAACTGTCTATGTCCCCATTGAGGAAATTTCCCTTTACTTCCAGACCATGTGACAAGGGGTTAAAAACAAAAATAAATATCATTACGCTTATTATTATTACTTAGTTCATTGAACTGTATTCACTTCAATAACTTAATCATGGGAATAGGAAACTCATATTAACTTCACATCCCCCCCCATGTAATTGGGTGTTCAAGGTTAGCACATGTACACCTGGCTCAGTGAAAAATGCACTCTTTACCTTAGTAAATTACTTGTTTATATTGCTAATGGCTAAATAGGGAAAAAGTAAGTTATAAGCATGTATGTTTTATATACATTTCTAAGTTCTACAGTTGTCAGGTGCGTCCGCGGGCAAGCAGCACGGAGGAAACCCGCTGGCAGGAAGCAGCCTAAAAAGTCCGGAGGCAAGTTAACAAAAGGGCAATCCAAAGGGGTAGTCGAGCGCAATCCGAGATCGAGACAGGCAGCAAGGGTCAGAGCCGATAATCGATCCTGGGTCGGTACACGGGAAGTCAGAAGAGGGTTCAGGTAACAAGCAGCAAGGCACATAGGAGGAGAGCTTCGTATGTCACACCATGAGGTGGAATAACTCAGCACTGAGCCAGGGCTCAGGCCAGGTTTTTATAGCCAGTGGGTGTGGGTCCGCCTCCTGGTCTCCGAGGCGACCAGGAGTCTTCCCTTCCCGTGGCAGGCGGAAGGTGTGTGTGTGTGGGCTGGGGAACCTCCCCCAGCAAGGCCACAACTGAAGCTCAAACAGGCGCACGTGTGTTGCGCGCACGGCCCCGGGATGCGCGCGCAGCCTGTGTACTGCGCACGCGCAGCTCACGCACGCGTAGTAGCCGCCGGAGCGCCCGTGGGTCTGCCAGGCTGAAGGAAGGTCTGTACTCTATGCCGTACCCTCTGACCTCGTGGGGAGGTGACGCCCCTGGCATCCTGACAACAGTTTACAATCTGGCATCGTCTATATCAGTGGTGGCGAACCTATGGCACGCATGCCAGAGCAGGCACGCGGGCCGTTTCTGCTGGCACGCGAGCCCAGGTCCGCCGCACTGCTTCAAAGTTCACTGATGGACATGCAGGAGCAGAACAGAGCTTCGGAGACGTTGTCATCTGCTGCCGCGCAAGCGCACTGAGGATGAGACCAAGAGCCACGCAGGCGAAAAACTGCAGTACCCCAAAAAGTCAATAAAAGACACTTTAAAAGCCCCCACAGGTCATCAATTTAGAGATACCCCAAAATACTGGCCCTAGGATTATTGCTCTCACTCCGGCGTGCGCGGCGATACCCAACATGTGTAGCGCGTTCGTCGTTATATTCATTAACTAAACAATCATATTTTTTTACTTACAATTTCTTTTTTTTGCACTTCCTGGTCCACTTTGACACAAATTATGTAATCATGCCAAAGCATCACATCCTGGGAAGGACTACATCAGCAGAACATTGCTGGGAAATCTCATCTGTAATCTCATGAGATCTCAGGGAAAGGCATTTTCCTCCACTGGGATAAGAAGCATGGTCACATGTCCTAGTCACATGTGCCAGAGATCCAGGAAGTAAAGGGAGATCTAGTACTCTGCCCTTTATTAAAATAGCCAATGTCAGAAGACTGGGGAAGAAAAGAAAAAAAAGGTATGCAAAAAATAAAAAGCCTGCAATTATCTAGAAGTATGTGTTTGTAGATTGTCATCACTAAACATTTCTAAAAGGTCCCTTTGTTGTTATTTTGAAGATATGGGTAAAGTTCCTCTTTAAAGATAAAAGCAAAATGGCTTTCAGGAATTAGTATTTTTATATTTTTATAGTGGACAAATTGGCAAGAATGATTTATTCTTGTTATTGTAATAGTTGTCTGCATTTCAGTGGTTTGTATTGTTAAGACGAAGGAGACTAAAAAATAAAAAGGGGGACTTTAAAAACCAGCAGTCTAGCTTTAAGGGCACTATGTTTTTCTATGGCTCTGTGTCCTGTGGAGATGTGTACTCTAATAGGTAAGAGTTATGGAGCAGAATTAAGCATTTGTGGGATGTTCCACTGTCTCATTGGTTTTTTATCCCAACATAGCCCAGGCCGTCTATAGCTAAAATAGACATTTATACCAGTTCATCATTGCTCCCACCTCCAACAAGCATGGTGATGTGGAAAAGCCTAGTATCCCTCAGTGCTGGCCTGATACTGTGTCTGGAGAATGCTGCCTTTTTTTGGGTTCCTTTACTGTTACAACCCAGTGCAGTGGATGTTGCCATGTGGACTGGCATAAAATCATTGGCCATCTAGCTATGGATAAGTCACCCCATATGGTTAGGGAGATGGGTTGGTAGTTTTTAGCAAAATAAATAAAAAAGGAGGAAAAGCAGGTTGGTGTATGCAAACCTGGGAAGTGGGCTTTTGATAAAAGAACAGGTGTATCACTGTGGAACAGATTATTCTTAGTCCATGCATCTCTACTGTCTATGTTACAATTCGTGTGTGCATATGTGTTAGCATGAACAAATGTACATTTAAAGGAAACCTTTTACAACGCTGGACAAGTAACACAGAGTCTATGGTAAAAAAATGTATAGGAAACATTGTTTTCAGTGGAACCTGTATATCAAATTGATAGTAGATTTAGAGATATAGGTATATACAGGTGAATTTATATGCAAATCCTGCA